TCTGCTCTTTGATGATCTCCCTCCGGCCAGCAGTACTGACTCAGGTACAGTCTTCAGGCTCTCCCAGGTGTGTGTCAACATGTCATCCTGGGATTGTAGTTGTCTCAATCTTTTTCCCTTTCCCCCATTTTCAACACACAGATGTTTTAGGTGTTGGACTGTCTTAAGTTTTGAATCCATGGCATCAGGTAAGGCAGAAAAATCCGCTAGTCGCTAGCCCTGAGAAACTGCATAAAAGTGTTGAGCAGTTTTCTCTGGTTCATTTGAGTGTTTAATATACTAGCTGGAATACGATTTAACTCTTTAAGGCAGATTTTTTTGTTTCCTTTGAAATGATAGGACTTTAAAATAAAATAGGTTCAAGGCATTATTTAGCACTGTATGAGTTGCCACTGGATTGACACAAGAGTTTTGAGTTTATTTCAATGACCTGTGTAGGTGTCCTGGTGGGATGGATTCTGAAACTTAAGCCTCCTCCTGGTTTTGTGGGCTCACTCCATGTTCTGCTGTGTTTCAGGATCGGGGGGACCTTTGCTTTTTGATGATCTCCCACCAGCCAGCAGTGGTGATTCAGGTAAGTGGTAGGGAAAAATGTCCAACATGCTGATGGAAATAATATGCACTATTTTACCCTTACATAAAATTTATTTATTTATAGCTTGTAACAAGCCTTAGGATGATATTAAATCATAATACAACATAAGGTTTATTAAAACTGAATAGATACCGGGCATTTCTTGGCAGTCCAGTGGTTAGGACTCAGTGCTTTCACTGCTGGGGCCAAGGTTTGATCCCTGGTTGGGGAACTAAGTTCCCGCAAAAAAAAAAACCCTAAATAGATACCATTAGGTGGGAGCAAAAAGACACTTAAATGCTACATCACTTTTTGGTGATTATTTTTTACTTCTTGGGGTTTAACCTCTTGCAACTGACTTTTAAGAAGTGAAGAGTCCAGTAATTTACTTTGATCTTTGTCATTAACGTGTTTTTTTTTTAATTAATTAATTTATTTATTTTTGGCTGTGTTGGGTCTTCGTTTCTGTGCAAGGGCTCTCTTTAGTTGTGGCGAGCGGGGGCCCCTCTTCATCGTGGTGCGCGGGCCTCTCACTGTTGCGGCCTGTCTTGTTGCGGAGCACAGGCTCCAGGCACGCAGGCTCAGTAGTTGTGGCTCACGGGCCCAGTTGCTCAGCGGCATGTGGGATCTTCCCAGACCAGGGGTCGAACCCATGTCCCCTGTATTAGCAGGCAGATTCTCAACCACTGTGCCACCAGGGAAGCCCCTGTTATTAACGTTTAAAAGAAAATCTCAGTCTGTCATTCTGGTTTTGCCTTGTTACATTCCTGACAGACGCAAATGTATCCAGCAGAAGTGTCTGAATACATGAAGTGCAGCTAAAGTCTTCTCAGTATCCCTGGTAAATAAGTCGTCTGTTTTATGCCACGTACATTAAAAAGAATTTTGATTTTAAGAAAATGAAGTCAGAATGACACTGCTTTACTGACTGGTACAGACCATGTGCAAGAATTTGAATTCTCGAAATTCAAGACCTTAGTTAATTATTTTCCAGTCAGTCTTTTTATGTTCTCAAGATTCTTTTTATTGATTTGATTTCATTTTTATCAAGCCTATTAACATTGGCTCTACCTGTTCCTGTAAATGTTTAACTTTTACCTTTATGTCCCAATTACACAGAAGGGGAAAATAGAGCCGATTCTTCTAGGTTGTCATATATGACGAATGTATTATTCCACTAACTGAGAACTTCTCACATGGAATTCCCCCAAAGGGAGGGGGAAGGTAGGGCAATGGTGGGGGACAGTAGGGATGCAGGCTGTCCTTTTTCATGTGCAGTTATCCTCTAGTGTAAAAAACCTTCCTTATGTTGTCAAATAGAACACTTGCTGCTTTTCAGGTATATTTTTTGTATTATTAATTCTTTACCATAAATTCATTGGAATTAGTCTAGAAAGTATGGATTAAATTAGGTATCAGTCCTATATTTAGAAAAAGTATCACAATCGTCTTACATAAGAAGTCTCAGGTTTTCAGGCTATGTATCCATACCAAAAATTACAGCATTCTCGTACAATTTACCCTAAAACCTCCCCAATAAAGACAGTGCACTTAGTTAAAATGAAAGTTAACGTGTGCAACTAGGGCTCTTAACAGATTTAATTTAAAAAAGGAAGATTCAGCATAGTTACATCTTAGTTATCCGCAGGGCAAAAGGCAATAAACTAGCAGCGACTTAGAAGACGTCAACACCATTGTTAACAAGCTTGATTTTTTTTTTTTGGATATAGAATCCAATCTTGTATCCAGTATTTAGGCTTTCTTGAGAAGACATATTTTTCTTCTCAAGCAGGCAAGAGCCATTTACAAAAATTGACTGCATTCTAGGCCATAAAGTAAGTCCCAATAAAGAATCAGCTTCATACGTAGACCGCATTCTCTGATGACAATGTGATTCACTTAGAAGTCAATAACAGTTTAAAACATTTCTCTGTTTTTCAATTTAAAAGAAAGGAAGATTCTTTTACATACACATTGGGAAAACTGGAACACAAACAGTAAGTGACAGGAGGCTAATGAAGACACCTTTGGGAAATCCGTGACATTGTCCCAGTTAATTTGCCTTACTATGTGGGGTGGGATGTGTGTGTTATACTGTTGCAGAAATCTGTCCTTTGCAAATAATTGACCTTCTTGCAGGCAGGGACATTTCTTTCCTTTTTTTTCTCAGTACTCAGAAATGTCTGGCAAAGAATAGTTGAATAAATAATAAATGATTGCATATGCTTTTATACCTAAATGCAGAGAATACTTAGGGCCATTTATTGGATACTTGATGGACCAGGCACTGTGATGAATGCTTTACATACCTTCTCCCCAGCAGTTTTCAAACAAGCCCCTGAGAGGACAGTATTCGCCCTATTACGGGTGAAGAAACTGAGGCTGAAGGTTAAGTAACTTGCCTTAAGGGCACACCCCTTGGAAGTGGCAGAACTGAGATTTGAAACTAGATTTCTGTTCCAAAATGCATACACACTGCAGGTGCTCTTAGCTCTGGCTTTGAATACAAATTCGTCCCTTTGCAAGTGGGAAGGGCCTCAGCAGTCCTGTTTTGCCTTTCAGGATACATACAGTTCTTAAAGCCTGATGTTTATTTTAAGCCTTTTTTGGCACTTGTTACTCTTTCTTTTTTTTTTTTTTGTGGTACGCGGGCCTCTCACTGTTGTGGCCTCTCCCATTGCGGAGCGCAGGCTCAGCGGCCATGGCTCACGGGCCCAGCCGCTCCGCGGCATGTGGGATCTTCCCGGACCGGGGCACGAACCCGTGTCCCCTGCATCGGCAGGCGGACTCTCAACCACTGCGCCACCAGGGAAGCCCTACACTTGTTACTCTTTTGAACTGGTTCAGAACATTTCACTTTGCAGATTTTGGAAACTTATTTATAAGTAAGGGCTTGTGGATGTAAAACATCATATATGTGCCATAGCCCCAAGATATGAATGTGTAGTTTTACCACTGAGAAGCCTCTCTTGCATGTCCTCTTATGCCAGTCTGAGCAGGGCCCGGATCTTAATTTGTGGTCTCACACTGTGGGTGCCCAGGCACCGCCCCACCCCTCAAAGTCATAGCCGTGACTGCTTTGCCTCTCTCTCTGCCAGGCCTTTCTCAAATGTCTTTTGTCTCTGAGGGCTGGGAGGGAGCCTGGTCTGCTAGGGACTCTTACCGTCTACAGCTGTGTTTCTGTCTGGCTTTGACTTTATATTTCCAGGTTCTCTTGACACTTCGATATCCCAGGTGGTAAAGAATGAAGGGAAAGGAGCAAAGAGAAAAACCTCTGAAGAAGAGAAGAATGGCAGTGAAGAGCTTGTGGAAAAGAAAGTTTGTAAAGGTTTTCAGACAGTTTGAAAACAAATGTATTAGACTTCATATTGTAAAACAACCCAGAGCAAAAAACAAGCTCAGCTTTCCAACGATGATACTGGATTGGCCAAAACGTTCGTTCTGTTTTAAGTAAAAATAAAAGACATTTTTCATTTTCACCAAGAAGTTCATTGAATAATGTATTCATTAACTGAATGACCTTTTTGGCCAACCCAATACTTCTTTTAATGTCTGTATTTAAGAAGTGGATGGGGTTTCTTATTTGCAAATAGATTTCCAAGTTTACTTTCGCTTCCTCTCTCTCTTTGCTCTCCATGTACATCTGTTACCTTTGGTCAGACAGGAAACCTGCATTTGTCCTTCAAGGGTTAAAAACCACAGGTAGTTCTTACTTAGCCTTCGTCAGAGAGTGTTTAGCTTATTGGCCCCCCAGTTCCTTGTCCCCAGCCTGTTGGTTAGCACTTGGGATTCTGTGAATAGCTCAGTAGGCAGGTCCCAAGAGACAGCCTGAGGCTGGAAAAAGCAATTGAAATTTGTAGTCAGCTTTGTAACATGTCACAGTGAGTGGGGAAGAAATGAAAAGTATCAGCTAAAGAGAAAAACTGGATTTTCACTTATTGCACCGGCCACTTTGTCTTGTGCCATAAGTGGTCTCAAGGCAGAGGCTGTAGGCTGCAGTGGAGGTGTGAGAGGACCTGCTCCGCCTCTGCTGTGAAGACGTGCGCTCAGCTTGGCTTGTCACTGCCTTGAGCCTGGAGAGCACTGTGCCTGCCACCAGCCACTCTTCAGAAAGCGCTCATTCTATCACTTCTATGGCTCTAGGTGTCAGAAAAAGCTTAAACCAGCCATTAAAGAGAAATTTCTGCACCTCCAGTGAACTCCTTTTTCCTTTCCTTCCTCAGTTAAAGTAAAAGCAGCTGATCTTACCATTTGTTCAAATTCTTCCAGCCTCAAGCATGGAAATATATATTTCCAGTGTATCCAACAGGGCATTAGGGATAAACTCTACTTGCTTGCATTCCTCTAAACTAGAAATTTTTCTGTCCTTATTAAATTATTGACAGACTAGATTTGCACAAAATTCCTTGCCCCAGTTCAAGTCCCACTTCTGTGGGATGACAGTACATTCCTTGCTCTGGTGCTTTGACTTAATGCCCTCGCAAGAGGAGCCATTCTGTACTAACTTGCTGTCATCTGCTGTCTCCTTTCCACTGCTCAGCCTTGCAGAGGCCGGCCCTGTCCAACAGTGGTCTGAATCTTGTAACAGACTTGCAGCCCGGGAGATGCCTTGAGGGGTATAGCTTATTTGTTTGCAGCATTAGGGCATTGCTGAGTAGAACAACCATAGTTCCCTCTCATTTGCTCTGGGACTAGGGCTTCTGGAGAGAAGGGCACAGTTTTGTATTGGCTTTTTGTTCTCTTTTTCTTAGGCTCTTCGGTGATCTTTGGTTTGAAAGGCTATGTGGCTGAGCGGAAGGGCGAGCGGGAGGAGATGCAGGACGCCCATGTCATCCTGAACGACATCACCGAGGAGTGTAGGCCCCCCTCCTCCCTCATGTGAGTGTCTGTGCTCCAGCAGCCTGATGGCATAAAAGTCTCTGTTCTGATGGGAACTTTGAACTGTATCCAGTTTGTGTTTATTAGAAGGATGTATTTCTTGAGCTGCTTGGTTCAACATCAGTAGTTCTCAGCTGGGGTTGGTTTTGCCCCCCAGGGATATTTTTGGTTGTCACAGTGGGGGATGTACTACTGGCATATGGTGACTGGAGGCCAGGATGTTATCCTGTAGTGCACGGGTTAGCCCTACAACAATTGTCCTGCTAAACTTGAGAAACCCTGCTAATTGGGAAATGACTCTCCCTATTTTGGGTCTTGGGGTGTGCTGCTTTCCACCAGTACCTGAAGAGGTTCTGGCAGATAGTATTCTTATTCTCTGACCCGGGAGATAGAGGGAGAAGCTGCTAATTACAGAGGCGAATGGTGACCCGGGAGAGCTAGTGCACATAGTGAGGGCCCAGAAAGAGCAAAAAAGCAGAAATGGCATCAAGAAGATTTCCTGCAGTTGTACAAACTAAAGTGAAGGAAAAGGCATGGAGGAAAAGCCATTGCTCACCAAGAGCAGGAATATGCTTTGGAGTTGCTTTTGAACCCAGGAAAGGGGCTTCTGGAGAGCCCCACGGGGGTAGGTATTTTCGGGATAGATTTAATTGAGGAACACTAAGCCATAACTAGCAAATACTACGCTGTAATATTCTGAGTTAACAACCACATGAAATTTATTTTTTCATGGCTTGTGATGTCCCAAATTGAAAAGGAATTCCAAAAATGTTTGAAAAAAGAGCAGCTCTGCAGAATAAATGTCATTTCTCATAGGCATTTTTGTTCTATCCTTTTTGAAACAGTTTTTTAATGACATTTATCCTATTTATGTTTTTTGGCAAAACTTGAAAGGGGAACAGGAATAAGACTAGTAAGATAGGCTTTAAGAATTCTATATTGGTCAGAGTTTGAGCAGGAATTCTAAAATTACCTATTCTCTCTCTCATAGATTTTTTTAAATAATTTTTTTAATATCGTTGTTGGAGTATAATTGCTTTACAATATTGTGTTAGTTTCTGCTATACAACAAAGTGAATCAGCTATAACTCTTACAGATATTTTTGACCGTCTTGGATCAGTAACTGTTTATCTGTGTGTTAGTGTTTGAAACTAAATCTGCTTTAAATAGAAAAAAGTTCTGAATTTTAGTTTAGTGAAAAATCAGGGTTAAGAGATCTTGATTTTTAAAAACAAGTGTGAGTTTTTAATTCTGAATTTAAAAATGTCACGGAAGTTACTTAAATGTTTGTCTCAGGTAATGTTAATGTTCGCTGTCTAAGAGTTAACAGCTTTTATGGAGAGGAGTAGTCTTTGGTGTGAGAATCTCTCTGACTCTCAGTTCATTGTTCCAGTACCCGGGTTTCATATTTTGCTGTTTTCGATGGACATGGAGGAATTCGAGCCTCAAAATTTGCTGCGCAGAATTTGCATCAGAACTTAATCAGGAAATTTCCTAAAGGTGAGACTGACAGCTAAATCGGTTCATGTTCATCTTGGTGTTGGCTGTTTGTGCTGATTAGTGACATGTCACTGGCTTTAGCAAAGAGTCCTTGGTGACTCTAAAAGAGCAGGGCTGAGAGGAGGTGGCTCCGAGGTGAGCAGGTGCAGTGGCCGTGCAGGTGTGCCTAGTATGGAACTGCTCGTGTCTCTGAGTGATTGGCCCCTCTCGTGGAATGTCTTTGGGTACAAGTGAGTGTCTTGCCTTTGTATTTGGGAGACTACTAAAACCAAATGCAGATGGCACTCACAGGTGAGGAAGCACAGATTGTGCTTGGTCGTAATACAGGAACAAAATGACAGTGGCGGGAGGATAATCTTCCCTCCTTAAGAGTTTGTTTTCTTTTGTTCCTTCTGTAATAGGAGATGTAATCAGTGTAGAGAAAACCGTGAAAAGATGCCTCTTGGACACTTTCAAGCATACTGATGAAGAATTCCTGAAGCAAGCTTCAAGCCAGTAAGTGTAATAACCACATGAAGACACGTGAGTGGAGTGCGCGTGTTGTTTTCCTAAACGCATTCCAGGCCTTCTACTGCAGTTTAATGCTAATGCTCACTGTCTGAAAAGTTCCTAGCACCAAGTAATCTCTCACAACTTGACAAAATCTGGAAAAGAAAAAAGCACGTATCAAAGAAACCATCCATTTTAAAAGTGTAAGACACTCCCCATTCAGCTCTGGAAATTAGTCTCAAAGTGCTAGCGTGTTGGTGGTGACTGTATTTCTGATGTGTTTCCCCCCAGGAAGCCTGCCTGGAAAGATGGGTCCACCGCCACCTGTGTTCTGGCTGTAGACAACATCCTTTATATTGCCAACCTCGGAGACAGTCGGGTATGTGACACCGGAGCCACCTACTTAGATAACAGCGCGTCACGTGGGAGAAGAGCTGTAGGAGCACCTGCTGAATAAGGTTGCAGCGACGATGGCTGGGTCGGAGTCTTCCTTCTTGTGGGGTTGCTGCAGGGGTTCTGCGGCAGCGTTTAAGTTCTGGGTCAGGGAACAGCAGCTGAGCTTGAGGCTGTTTGTTCTCTGAGAAGGCTTATACCCTGTCTGTCAGATACAGAGCTGTGAGTTGGAATTTAATTGGCCTGCAAGTACCTTAAATATTCATCTTCATTTCTCTGACCTCAGGCCATAATGAGTGAATAACTCCAAAGCTGTAGCTAGAAAGTGCTAGATGATGTGACATATATCCGTTGAGCCCAGTACACATAGCTGAGGGAGAAACCCGATGATTTCCCACTGGTGACATCCTGTGTCCCAGTCCCAGCTGTGGGGAATGACTCAGAGCTGGAGGGCGGTGCTCTGCAGGGTCTCTGCAGTCCCTCCCACCTCCCCTGCCAGGAGCGGATGTTCACCTCCATTGCCACTTGCTTTTCAGCCATTCTCCATGCTTGTTCAGCAGTCACTGGACAAAGTGACCTTCCCACTCTTACTAGCATCTTCAGACGTGGAAATAGCTGCTCCCACCCCTGTTGCTTTTAGGGTGATCTATAAATATGGAGCGCTAGGAGCTGTAGCATCACAGATGACAGCCCTGCCCTAGTAGAGTTCATATTCTGGTGATGTTTTAGTGGGTCTGTCTAGTGGACTGTCTCTTGTACATAGGTGTTTAGATCAAAGGACTTAAAAAAACAACATGAGTAAAACTGGCCAAAAAATGAGAGACTTTGGAGTCAGGCCCAAGTTTGAGTCCTGGCCTTGCTCTCTGACTCTAGGCACGATGCTTATCCCCTGGGCCTCAGGCTTCCTCCTCTGTAGAATAAGAGGTTTGTCCCGAAGTTACCACACAGTAAACATGGTGGCGGGAACCCACGGAGAGGTACTTGGTCAGCCCACCGAACTGCCCTCATCTTTGCCATTGTAAACTCTTGGAATGGTAACGCCTAAAGGGGCCTTGGTACCTGTTAGGTCCTCCCTTTCACATCACAGATGAGAAGATAATGGCCTAGTGAGGGTGAGCAGTGAGCTGTGGTCGACCAGCAGAGTTTGCACCAGAGTTGAGACCCAAGCCCGGGGCTTCTCTCCCTGAATTTTTTTGTGACACCACTTTGCTACTTGTACTTTTGATGCTTGATCCACTGAACTCAAGTTTGTCAGCAGGAGGCTGAATCTGAAACTCCATTGTTAACCTTTCTTCAGCTGTCAACTTTAGGTGCTGGGCTCATTAAATTTCACAGCCATTGTACTCTCCATCTTCCCAGGCAATCCTGTGTCGTTACAATGAGGAGAGTCAAAAACATGCAGCCTTAAGCCTCAGCAAGGAGCATAATCCAACCCAGTATGAAGAACGAATGAGAATACAGAAGGCTGGAGGGAATGTCAGGTAACCGGGGAGTGACGGGAACTCGGGAAGGAGGGTTCACTTATGTAAAAGCAGCCTTGAGACCTCTGAGGGTGGAACGTTCTGTGTCACACAGTCTTCAGCGTAATGAGAGTCTGTATGAGGTCTCACCTGGTGAAGTTGAAGTAGGTGAACGAGTGTTGTAGGATTTCACCTGTGTCCAGGTGGGAGCAAAAAACGTGTACAAGAAACATGCTGCCCTACGTTTGCAAAAGGAGGAGACCTGTCTCAAATTCAAGTTCACCGTTTGCAGCATTGTCTCTGGTCCTGGTAACTCTCATAAAAGCTGTCATTTGTCACAACCCGGTAAGCTGCAGTTTTCGGCAAATTCTCCAGAGAGAAAATCTAAAGTGGTTAAGACAGTAAATGTAAGACAGTGTGTGCTGATCACCTCTGGTCTTCCTGGGGAACAACTTATCTAGCCCAGACAGCCGCTCTTACCTGGCTGCGTCCACGGCAATTCCAGTTCATCTCTCTTTACACCTTTGAAGAGTGTGTGCTGGCTCTAGTTTATCATCTGCCATCTCTCAGGTAGTTAAAGGAGGGCTTAAGTCTTTTCTGCAGTTTAGGAGAATTACACTTTAAGGACATTGCATTATGAATTTGATCAGAGGTGTTTTCTGGTTCATCTTACAGTTTGACCCCATGAGGATTTTGTCTCCTGTTGGAGATATGGGAGAAGTAATATATCAGGGTAAGAGTGCAGTTATTTGTCCTTGGATGTGTAGTTCCTCTTGTTGTTTATTTGGGGCAGTTTGTATTATTGCTTCAGGCTGTTTCTAGCCAGGGGTGCAGGGAGGTCTCTGGAGAGCAGTTAGAATTCTTAGGGTTGGTTAAAAAAACTCCTGGGTTAGTCAAAGGTGATTTGGGTCTTGGTTGTGGCTGTCTACATGAGCATCGACGGAACTGTAGGCTGGGTTCAGACGTTGGCCAGTGCTCTGTGCCTGACTTCTCCCCAATGACTGCTGTGGAAGTTAATGCCCGAGAATGTGACCCCAGTGTTAGTGTCAGCATCACCTTTTCTGCCCTTTATTATAACTTTAAAATGCTGCTTTTGCCTGAACTCCTTGAAAAGATTTTGACATTGGCAGTCCTATGGCTGAAAGTAAGATTAGCTGCATTGCATTTACTTCCTGTTTCCCCGTCCCTACTTGCTAAGAACAGTGTGGGCTTAGGGTGAGCCCCTCAATTTAGAGAAACGGGGTGGGAGGCTCAGAGACAGCAGGGGCTTTCTGTTCCTGAGCAGCAGGGCCAGGCTGTGGCCCATCTCCTGCCTGAGGCCAGGGGTGGCATGCTTTTTCTTTTCCTTCACCCCCTCCTCCTTTTATTATTAAAATTTTCAAACATGCAGAAAAAATTTTAAAAGAGTAAACATTTCAATATCTACCACCTAGATTCAGTAGTTAACATTTTGCCATTTTGCTTTGTCTGTTTATGTGTGTGTTTGGCTGAACTATTTAAAAGTTAGTTGCAGACATAACACCTAAGAAAATAATAATTCCTTAGGTTGTATTAGGATATCTAATATCCCGTCTGTACTCATATTTCCCCAGTTGTCCCCACAGTGTCTCTGTTTGAAACCAGGGTCTGGTCAGTGTTCGCATCTACCTTGGACTCATATCTTTCCGTGTAGAATCGTCTCCACTTGTACTAGGCTTGGATCATCACTAGTCAGCACTTGTATAGGGTCACCAGTGCTGTTTTTTCATAGTATCGTTTAAGTTGCTTGTGTGTATTTCTTGTAAACTAGAAGTTAGGTCTAAAGGCTTCTTTAAATTCAGATAAGACATTTTCAGCAAAAATATTTGATGGGGGATGCTATGTACTTGATAGTCCCTCACTTCAGTAGCCATGTAAGGTCACTGGTGTGATACTGATTCCATGCTGGCTACCATGGCTACCATGTGGTGACAACAGATGGCTCCAGAGTGAAAGGACGTGTTTCCGTGTAATCAGCCCATGATCCGGGGAGATACACTTGAGCACCTTGTGAACATTGTGGCCCACCAGCCTTTCAGCTGACGGTTTTAGCATCCCTTAGTGATCCTTGCACGAATCATTTATTTCACAGGGATGGCAAAGATGATCATCTGCTTCTGTGCTTCCTTCTACGTGTATTGACAGGCATCCTATAAAGAAAGGCTTTCCTTCATCAATAGGGGATGAACCATAGTTTCTCCCTGAAAGCAGGGTAAATGTTGAATTCTTTAATCACCATTTGCAGAGTGAGAGCCACCCACAGTTGTGGAAACTAGTGTTTTCTTTCCCTTCTCTGCTTCTCTCCATCCCCTTTTCCTTGCTCCATGAGTCACTGCAGGTGCCTTTATGTATTGGAGGTGCTGATTCTAGCTGTAGAGGCAGGGTGCTCTGCTGCCCACATGACCTCATCTGTGGCCAGTGGGAGGGAGCTTCGGCTTGCTTCAGACACATCTGCCTTTGTCTTAAAACTGAGCTCCATATGCTGGGGATGCTTGTTTCAACTGCAGTGTCATCAATTCTGTGTCTGTTCTAGGACAGAGCCAGGAAACACACACACACACACACTCACTCTCTCTCTCTCTCTCTCTCTCTCTCTCTCTCTCTCTCTCTCTCTCTCTTTAAGCTGTGAGCTTAGACTGCTATTTCTCATTCACATTGGACACTTACAGGGCTTTCTCTTAACTTCTTTGATTCAGTAGTTGTAGTGTCTTCTTTTATGCTGAAAATCTTGGTTCCTAACAACATTAGTATATTTATTTGCCAAAATAGCTTGGAAATCATAGTATCAACAGTATCACTGTTAATGAATTTGAGTTCCTTGTGGTTCTCTTATCTTTAGTCTGTGCTTCACTGAGGATATACAGAGTACTGTGTGTAAACATGGAATAATTATTTTCACTGCAGTTTTGTTACACTCTGTTTATTATGATCATTAGTTTCAGTTTGCTTTCAACTTCAGGGCTTTTCCTGCTGGTGGGAATGTAAAATGGTGCATCTGCTGTGGAAAATAGTTTGGCAGTTCCTCACAAATTAAAAATAGATCTATCGTCACAACATTGTAAATCAAGTGTACTTCAATAAAAAATAAATTTAAAAATAAATAGATCTACCATATGATCTAGCAATTCCACTCCTGGGTATATACCCCCCAAAATTCAAAGCAGTGGATTTGAAGAGATAGGCGTGCACCCATGTTCATAGCAGCATTTTTCACAAGAACCCAAAGATGGAAGCAACCCAAGTGTCCATCCATAGATGAAGTGATGAACAAAATACGGTTTCTCCATACAATGGAAATACTATTCAGCCTTAACAAGGAAGGAAATCCTGTCGCATGGATGAACCTTGAGGACATTTTGCTAAGTGTTAGAATAACCTAGTCACAGAAGAGTGACTGCTGTATGGTTTCACTTATATGAAGTCCCTGAGTGGTCAGAATCGTCACCGGGACAGAAAGTAGGGTGGGAGTTGTCAGGGGATGGGGAGGGGGAGTTGGTGTTTAATGGCCGCAGAGTTCAGTTTGGGAAGATGGGAAGGTTTTTGGAGATGGATTGTGGTGATGGTTGCACACCAACGTGAATGTACTTAATGCCACTCAACTGTACGTTTAAAAGTAGTTAAGGGCTTCCCTGGTGGCGCAGTGGTTGAGAGTCTGCCTGCCAAGGTAGGGGACACAGGTTCGTGCCCCGGTCAGGGGAGATCCCACATGTCACGGAGCAGCTGGGCCCGTGAGCGATGGCCGCTGAGCCTGTGTGTCTGGAGTCTGTGCTCCGCAACGGGAGAGGCCACAACAGTGAGAGGCCCATGTACCGCAAAAAAAAAAAAAAAAAAGGTCTTAAGGGACTTGCCTGGTGGCACAGTGGTTGAGAATCTGCCTGCCAAAGCAGGGGACACGGGTTTGAGACCTGGTCTGGGAAGATCCCACATGCCACGGAGCAACTGGGCCCGTGAGCCATAACTACTGAGCCTGCACGTCTGGAGCCTGTGCTCTGCAACAAGAGAGGCCGCGATAGTGAGAGGCCCGCGCACCGCGATGAAGAGTGGCCCCCGCTCGCCGCAACTAGAGAAAGCCCTCGCACAGAAACGAAGACCCAACACAGCCAAAAATAAATAAATAAATTTATTTAAAAAAAAAAAAAGTTAAGATGGTAAATTTTATGTTACATGTATTTTTACCACCATTTTAAAAATGAAAACCCCCCCGCATTTACGTGGTTAATTATCTAAGTTAAATAAAAGGCACAGTTAGACATGCTTTCGTCTCTGTTCCCTTCACCCTTATTTCATGATTCTTTCCAGTGTTTCTTTTTACAAAAGTAAGCAAATCCACGTATGTATTTTTATTTTCCTACTTGCTTATACTGAAGGTAGTATACTGTATGCAGCAGTGCGTTACACCTTCAGGTGACTTCCTCGGAGAAGGTGAAAACAGTTTTGTGTTTATTTTACAAGGAAGGCAACTGAACAGCTGAAGGAAAACTTGCACATGTAGCATTGAGTGTCAGATTTGCAGTACTTGTGCTGGTACAGGTCTCTGATGGCAAAAAGAAACAGTTCTGGAATCATACCTGCAGTCTTCTCTATAGCACCCATCGTATTAATACACCGGATCTTGGCATCTGCAATCTTGGGATGGTCAGAAGAGGATGGAGCGTCCACCTCCCAGCCTCAGCTTTGTGAGCCTGTCAAGACCACTGAGTCCCTGCATTCGCTCACCTGCCAGAGTTGCTGAAGTCCGAGCAGGGTCTGGCTTGTCCTCACAGCCAGATTGGCTGTCTCAGTGCCTCTCTCTCCGATTGTGAAGGGAGAACCGGAACAGAAAATGGCAGCAAAAAGAGCTACGATCAGGGGACTCTGTTGAACGACTTTCCCACCAATAGAACAGCAGTCCTCTGATGGCTGGGCAGCTGGGAAGGAGATGAGGGACAAAGCGGCGTGGAGCAAAAGTCGCTTGAGGGCGGGAGGCCAGGCCTGTGGACGATTGGTACCGAGGGAGGGCACGTGGGTCGTGAGTGTGGACCTCAAAGCCCACTCCCTCCTCAGCATGGTGGTCTTGGGGGAGAGCTTTGAGGGTAGCGGGAGGAGTGGGTTTTCAGCCGTTTGCTGAGGGAGAACCCGCTGCAGAGCACGCAGCTTCCTATTGTGCGTTTAGGAAGCTGGCCGCGTATCGGGTGCGCGTGGAGGAGCTCTGCTGAGGGGGATTGGAGCGCGCCGGGAGGTGCGAGCCCACACATCCACGTGGCTGGTTCCGGACAGGTCTCGTCGGGTGTGGTCCTGTTCCAGTTGTCACTGACCATGAAGGCAGGTGGTGTGGCTTCATGCTCTTGTGATGCACAGCCTTAGAGCTGGCACTGGCCTCTGGAGCTGACTGGCGTTTGCACACGCACGTCTTAGATAGGCTGTCACGCTGAGTGCAGGCAGTGACAGCCAGCTTGCAGTGTCCGTTTCTGAAGTGTAAGTGGCTTTTCCTGGGTCTGCGATTCTGTCCGTTGTTGCTTTCTCCTGTCACTCCAGTAGTTGAGTGAGTGTAAGATTTCCACTCTGTGTAGAACTTTGCTCAGTAAACAAGAATGGAAATGGCAGCTTCTGTGTTGTGGCGCACACATTTTTCTTCATTAGACTCAGGAATTGTTCCACGTTTTGTGTACTGAGTTGTGCTGGTAGTAACTGGGGCTTTGGGACCTGCCATTGCACACAATCTCGTTGAAAGAAGCCGGGTTTATGACTCGGGGGTGGGGTTGGGTGCGCACCAGGCACCCAGGTCCTTGGTCCTGCAGAAGCGCTTTGCTGGCTTCTCGCAGTGCTCATGCTTTGAGCTCCTTCCTCAAAGGCGCTCCTGAGGCTGAGGGATCCCGCCCCCCGCCCCACTTCACTCTTCAGCTTGGCCCCTGTGCACTTCGGCCCCTCTTGCTGCGCGTTCTACTGTTTGCACTTGAGAAGACTGCTCAGCTCTTCACAGACACCGGCAGAAGTCTTCGTTGCTGGTGATTCAGCTGTGACCACTGGGAGGGTGAGGGCGACTTTGTGGGCACAGTGAAGGGCCAGGGGCCAGGCTGAGCTCTGACTCTATGAGACAGCAGCCCAGACCGAGGCAAGCAGCTTCTGGCCATGTGTGTCCATCACACAGCATCTCCAGAGCTTGTTCCATCGTTTGGGAGCCCCGTGGTGACAGTACACAGCTTTGCTGTTTGCTGAGTGCTCTGACGTACCTTGTCGAGCGTGGGTTCTGGTTTTACACATGAGGGTCTAGATGCTTGGGAGGTTGCAGCTGTCCGAGGTCACACAGCAAGTACACCGCCAGAATTGTCCTTGGGAGTGTCAGGCTAGGGACTGTTTCTCCTGCTGACAGAACTCTGTCTTACAATGTGGAGTCCTTTTATAGGTCACCTTCCCATCTCCCTGTCCCTCATCTAAAAATAGAATGGGTGGAAGTATAATGCTGTGCAGAACAACTCTGCCATTTGTATTTAAGTCACATTAAATCATTTTCATACCCAGTGTAAAGAAAACTCGCTTCCAAGTCTGGGAATAATCACTTTCAGGTATTTTCTGAATCTGATTAGAGTGAAATGCAAAATATCCCTCTGTTCCAGCTATTCTTAACTCTGGTGACATGGTTGAATCACGTGAGAAGCTTTAAGATAAAAATAAAGCCAGGTCCCCATCTAATCAAGTTTGACCCTGGGCTGTGGGCAAATCAATGGATTAGGCCCAGGGCTGCCATATGCCAGCTAGAGGGGGCGCTGTCCCCATCAGTGTGCTGTTGGGCTGAGGAGCCAGGGGCAGCAGGAGTGTGAATGACCTCGAACAGAGAAGACTCAGCACAAAGATGCTCAGACGCTGCTGTGTATTAGAGGCTAGAGATGTGCATTCCACAGGTTACGTCTTTTACTCTATCCCACTTTTCTGCTTTTAAGATCGGATTCTGAGTACTGTGACCGTGATCTGTCAGATGGAATCTGAATTTGCTTTTCCCCTCATTTTAGGGACGGGCGTGTCCTGGGTGTGCTGGAGGTGTCCCGCTCCATTGGGGATGGGCAGTACAAGCGCTGTGGGGTCACTTCTGTGCCAGATATCAGACGCTGCCAGCTGACCCCCAACGACAGGTAAAACCTCCCAGAGGCACAGGTGTGCACACACATGGTTTTGTTTCTCTTCTGATTTCTTCCAGTTTGTGTAGTGAACCTGGGGTGGGCAGCAATGTCTCGGGCACTGTGCTAGGCCCTAGAGGTGCAGGGATAGATAAAATACCGTTTCTGCTCTCGTGGGGTCCACATTTTGCCGGGGGGAGCACCTGTGAATGGGCGGTTCCAGTCTAGTGTGTCTTAAGAGTGTGGGGTGCTCTGGGAGACTTTGGCCGTGGGGGGAGAGAGGCATCCTTGCTGGAGAAAAGAGAAGGGCTTTTTGGCAGAGCGGATACAAGGGACAGGATGGAAATGTGGCCAGGCAGATGCCATAATAGGGAGTCAGGAAAGTGATGGCAGGGTACCTGGGGACAGATTGTAAAGGCCTGGATTCTTTGCTGAGGAGCTTGAATTTTAGCTCATAATTGGTGGAGAATCCTGGGAGGTTTTTAAGCAGAGTCAAGTTACGTTGAGAAAGAGACCCCTTGTTTAACTGTCCAGCCCCTAATTCTGAGCTGCTTGAAGGTGAGGCACCATGCCTAGCGACAGAAGCCCTCAGCAAGTCAGTGTTGGAGGCTGGAGTAGGACGGAGCCCAGCGGCCAGTTAGGAACTGATGCACTGGCCCTTGCTGTGGGTGGGGATGGGGGAGGTGAACTAAGGCAGCAGTGGAAGGAGACCAGGGAGGCCAGTGATGCGAGGGAGGAGCCTTACCCCGGCCCCCCACCTGCTGAGCAAGCGTCTTGGGACACGGTTCCATCAGTTCCTCTGGTTTTCTAGATGATGCCTCAGGGGAGTCTCGTCTGTCCCCACATTAGACCAGGCCCCCTGTTGTGTGTACTGCTCAAGCTCCCTCTGCTTTGGATCATGGTTGTGTGTTTGTATGGCCAGTTGCTTAGGGTCTCTCACCTCAGTGGAAGGGGCCGGCACCTGCTTGGACCTGTGCCCTGCTAGGTCCCAAGCACGAACTATGTGCCTGGTAGATACGTGTTGAATGAATGCCCAGTCAAAAGAGGAAAACCAGGACCTGGGTATTAAAATGAGGAGAAAAGGGTGTTAGATCTATGGGGGAACTGTCCTAGGAGAACCAGAACTGTCTCGTCTCATCCATCATTGTTCAGAAAGACTTTCCTTGGGAAGTCTAGAGGGGGCTTTGAAAGGGAGGTAGTCCTGTTCTCAGATGGTAAAAGTGGAAGGTGGTTCTCCCTTCACGTGGGGAGTGAGTGCTTGAGAACATTCCTTAAGTCCACAAACTGTCAGTTTTATTGGGTGGGCCAAAAAATGCCTTTGGTTTTTTAAGTAAAAATAAAAGACACATTTTTCATTTTCACCAAGAACTTTATTGAAGAACGTATTCACCCTTTTGTTCCACTACCTTCTGCCATTTTTCAGGCAACTTCACAATCCCATCTTCGCAAAACTTTTTATCTTTTTGAGCAAAGAACTGTTCCAGGGGCCTTTTACAGTCCTCCAGGGAATCGACATTGTTTTCCATTGAGAGAATTTTGTAAAGACTGAAATAAATGGAAATCCGAAGGTGCAATGTCTGGTGAATACGGTGGATGAATCAAACTTCCCAGCCAAGCTGTAACAGTTCTTGCCTGGTCATCAAAGAAACATGCAGTTTTGAGTTATCCTGCTGGAAGATTATGCATTTTCTCTTGACTAATTCTGGACACTTTTCGTCGAGTGCTGCTTTCAGTTGGTGTAATTGGGAGCAGTACTTGTTGGAATTAATCGTTTGGTTTTCCAGAAGGAGCTCATAATAGAGGACTCCCTTCCAATCCCACCATATACACAACATCACCTTCTTTGGATGAAGACCGGCCTTTGGTGTGGTTGGTGGTGGTTCATTTCGCTTGCCCCACGATCTCTTCCGTGCCACATTATTGTCACTTTTCATTGGCCATCATGATTTGTTTTAAAAACGGAACATTTTCATTACATTTCAGTAGAGAATCACATGCGGAAATGTGGTCAAGAAAGTTTTTTTCGCTTAACTTACGTGGAACCAAAACATCAAAGCGATGAACACAACCAAGCTGGTGCAAATGATTTTCAGCGCTTGATCTGGATATTTCGAGTGTGTCGGCTGTCTCCTGCGTGGTATAACGTTGATTGTTCTCAACTAATGTCTCGATTTGATCACTGTCTACTTCAACTGGTCTACCTGACCGTGGAGCGGCGTCCAGTGAGAAGTCTCCAGCACAAAACTTCACAGACCGCTTTTGACACATTCGATTAGTCACAGCACCTTCTCCATACACTGCACAAATCTTTTTTTGCATTTCAGTTGCGTTTTTACCTTTCTTGAGATAATCATAATATGCCGAAAATGTTGCTTTTTTTCCTCCCATCTTCAGTATTAAAACGGCTACACAAAAATTCACCAATTTTGATGTCTTTTTTTTTTTTTTTTTTTTGCGGTACACGG